ACTCGGACTCACCACTTCTGGCGGAAGTTGTAGATTAGGCAGGTGCGTTAGCTGACAGCAATAATGCCACATGGCGCGCGGCACAAATTCCATACATACAAACTTCACTGGATGGCGGACATGTGACAAATTCGGTTGATAGGGTTCCTAGTCCCGTGTCTCCGGTCTCGCATTCCGGGATCAGAACACCAATAAGTCCCCGGACTAGTCATAAGACGTCCTCATCTTACACGAACAATCGAATGGATTTTAGCCAGAAACCGCGCCTGCGAGAAGCTACTACTGGCGTAGACATGGACCGAGGCACAAACTTCAGATGTAGAAGCTCTATCACTTAACGAACATGGATCAGCCGTGACCTCTGATGCTACGAATTCCAATATAAGCAAGGTTCCGACACCAGGTGGAATCGAATAAGACCACTGTAATTCATACAAAATCAGTGTCAACGCTCGCGGCTTCAAAAGGAATATCTTGAAATTTTTATGGACCTTAGAAGAGACAGTATTTCTTTACGAAGAATATCTGATTGACGAGTCAGTCGCGTCGTGTAGCCCGCCGATTTCATCAGAAGCAGCTTCGGCACACTTAAATAGCGGACCTTGGTATCCAAAGGTATCCAAGAGGCGATTCTGGCCAGATAAAGAACCACTGCAACATAATGGGCTTGGAAAGTGGCTATGTGCCGTCTCACGTGACAAAGAGTGCGAAGCGTTGCTTTCGCCAATTTTTGCGAAGATTTTTTTAAGTGATAAATCCATGCTCCCTCAAGGTATACAGATCATATAGTTTTCTTTGTAAGTATTGCCCTCTACAAAGATGTTGCTCACAGGCATTTTACATGACGATAGTTTTTCCGCCATCTATGACCCGATGTGTAGAGACGCTTGGCGTACTGTCGCGGAATACCGTGGTAGCGAGCTCTATCAGCCATCGCCAGAGTTCTTCCCGGCCATCCAAAAGATGATGGGTGGCGTCGACCAAAATAGTTGGCTATAAGCCCTGAACCAAGTAGGTGTCGAATCATTGTGTTGCCTTTGTCCGTGGGATATGCCACGCTCGGTCCGTTTCCCTTGTGGCCACGGAATATGTGAGCGATGTGCCTGGCGATACTCCGGTATCACAAATGAACTACAGCACTACTGTCCCACCCTAGCTCGCTTCCGGAAATGTCCTGTCTGTGGAAAGAGCGCTTACGACCCCAGCAAGCTGAATATCGAGTAGCGACTTTCGATGGCGGTGGAGTATATGCATTTACGTCGCTGGTCGCCATCCGTGAACTTAAGCATCTGCTGCCTGGCGCACTATTACCCCATCATTACTATAGTATCATTATTGGTACGAGTGTAGGTATGTTTACGATGTTGCTGGGCGTTGCTGAATGAGAGAATGGACACTCACATAGTTATCTAGGATCTATATATAGTGTGGCTTTGGATGCGATGCAATAGCCCGTAGCACAATGCATCAACTCGTTTCGGGTAACTACCGACAAGGTGTCCAAAAGGGATCGGTGTTTTGGAAGAGAATACTTTCTATGGCCAAAGGTGCCTTGTACGATGTTAATGTTCTGGCTGACACTCTACAGACCTAATTCGGCGCTAACGTGTTGCGGAATGTGACCCTGGATGACCGTTGTGGATCGACGCATATGGGAATTACATCAACAACGTTTGACGGTCATCTATGCTTATACCGTTCCTATGCGGATGTCCATTTCATTGGGAAGCAGAGTAAAGGCCCGCTACTGGCTGGGTTTAACCAACCTTTATGGCAAGCGTACGTGTGATCCCTGGCAGCATTGAATTCAATGCTGTCGATGTCATCTGCTTCACAAAATAAGCTGCGCTAAAAAGATTTAGAGCCGCAACAAGCTGCACTACCCCTTGCCTTTTCGAACCACTACCCTACAAGCGAGAGAAAACAGAACTCGATAAGAACTGTCCGCACACACAGAGCTTGGATGGAATCCTTGTAGCTAATTGCCCAGCATGAATAGGTATGATGGAAGTCAATGCTCTTTCACTACTTGATACCCGGATGCTAGATCTTTGCGCTAACTTCGGTACCGGTCGATTTCGAGAATCGGGTCTCTCCGTCAAAAGCAAAATAGCAAAGATCTTCACCCCTCGCTGGATTCAACGGGTCATAGTATATGTAAGATGTGCGATTGACGCCAGCTATATGTATGAGAAATTCTTGAATACCGTCGATAAGAGGGAGAGGGATCTAAAACAATATCCAATAGACCCATATCTCCCAAGACCATCATTTTCCTGGGATGACGCGTGCATACTTGAGACAATCGAAGAGCAGACAATCCACCACATGAGAACATCGGAAGTAAGAGCGGATTCACGACGACTTGCACTGGCCACGGTAGCCTCGTGCTTCTTTTGCGCACTTTCTCAAATACCAGCTTATGATCCTCGGGATGGCCAGTTCCATGCCAAACAGACATCTCAATCCCGGTGGCCTGAGGATAATGCAATCTCAAAGGCGCTTTGTGGGTACTTACAGGGTGCGTATGTTGTGGTAGGAAAGAAAAATAAAGTATACAGAGAGATCCCTCAAATGGGATTCACCCGCTGCTCCGTTATGATATCAGGCCTAGATACACCTATCCACATCAGCCTGTTTGAACATGAGAAAGGTACTCGTTCTATCAGTGGGTTCCCTATGACACTCGCGCAGATGTTATATCTTCAGCTTCCCTCCGCTCCGCCTCCTTTTTTTCGCAGACGGAGGTGACACGCAATTCACTTGTCAAACGGCAAAGTGCAAGAACTCTGAGAATCATGAGCCACTAGCCAAAACGTGCAAACGCCGATGCATCTGATTCCGATGAGCTTATGGTATTTATGTTCTATGTCAAGAGGCATCCTTATTTCTTCGCTTAGGAGAAATCTATGGATCACTGGTATCGAAAGTTATATATGGAGTACCTCAAGTACCCAGAGCAACACGATACCCATAAAGCCATGATGTTTATAATCATAGTTGCTTTCAACCGCCGCTATGGGGCAACGATGCGCTCAACCACCCTTCGGTCACATCACGTATTGCTACCATAGAAAGCTCGGGTATAGTGCCTACCTTTGAGCATGCTTATGAAGTATATTCCCGATCATTCATTTGCATGTTCATAGTTCTGTAGGCGAAGATAAAACTATATATTTAAATTTCCAAACTCACTGTACCTTCACATTCTGAGAGAATGGCTAGCTGATATCGCTCGTTGTGTTGACCGATCGCGGCACTGGGATTGATTTATTAGGGGATGACTAGGCCTGCCGTAGGCTATGCGCAGCAATGAGAGAAAAAGGAGCAAATATGTATACATTCGTTCTCGAAATCGGCTTGACCGGTACACACCAATACTCTCTCTTCCGGCTCCACTGCTAAGACGTTAGCGCAGATCGTTCATTGCCCTGGCCACACTTAGGTAAGGAAGGCTGTAAATCACCAGTGAGATACCTTTATCTCTCTCTTTAATCAAGCGACGCCCGGCAATGCGAGATCGATGGTCTCGAGAGAAGCTTTTTATCATTTCGCTGCTTTGACAATACGCGACCAGCCAGTTTCCAATTTATTGGTCGATTGATTCCGTCGAGATCGTGTTTAGTTGACAGCGTTACGAATAATAGCGCTGAAAGAAATCCGTTGATACCCGGTTGAAGCTACCGAATGCCAGAAAGTCCGAGAGAGACTGGGGAAGAAGGCATATTAACGGGATTGAAGCCCTGACTTTGATCCTCAAAAGGTTCAAATGCCATCGCCGTCTAAAGAGAAGAGACGAGCATTGTGAATATGACTCTATTCCAACACCACAGATGCTGAAAGAGTTCGTAGAGTACTGTGTTGTACTGTGTTGTTGCTGAGATGAGATTCCCATGTTAAACTCCTGCGACTGGTATTTCAAGAGCTTTCTGTGCACAATAGAAGAGAGACAACAGGGCCGGTCTCATAAGCACATCTGGGGCCACCACCAGAGCAACCATAAAATATTCATATCCTCAACAAACGTTTGTTCTTCTACGCTACGCTAGCTGCCGTGCTAAGAATTCGGGAAGACTGATGATCAGCCTATTACTGATGCCATTGAAGCTCATCGATATCCAAGTTGATTGAAACACGCATGATACTGTGAACTGTGCTAGTGAACCCAGGTCGCTTACAAAGTTTTTAATCCACTTCTCGCTCTAAGCCCGAACAAAAGAAAATAATCCAAAGCACTCAATGACATTTTTTTCTGGTCACGGGGACCTAAGTCATTATGTTTTGAGATCGTATCGCTGTGTAAGCCCTTTCTTTCTATATTCCCCTCGGTATTTGTCGACGCCTTTTCCTGATTCCTTGGTATCCCATTCAACTTTAGTATCCATAGTATCCAAATTTTTATCTGTCGCAGGCCATTTTTTCGATCATATTTGATGACCAGCTACTAGATATTGAGGACTAATATACGAGCCTGTAATCTCAGAAGGTCGAGGCGCGTTGCATTCCTACACAAGCGAATGTGGGACGGGCGGGGGTATAGGCCGGCATGTGCGGAACCAACTGTCTCGATAATGGATATCGTTGCAAGGATCGTGCGCTGATGCTATGGGAGTAGCTAGGTCTATAAACAAATTCTACCTACTAGGTAGTTACATCTGTTGCCGGGTCGCCTTTTGATCTACCTTTTTCCTATTGATTCAACGAGGTTTCCGACCAGGTCCTAGCCTTCTAGATTACAGACTCCCTTTTGCTAGTATCTACGAACGTCAATCCAGGCTAATAGTGACCTCAAGCGCGCTACGGGTTTTATGAAAATAAATCTACGATTTCAGAAAACAAAAGGGTAGTACCATAATGGGCAAGAGAAGCTGTTGTTGTTCGCGCCTCATTGAGGGTTGATGATCATTGGGATATATAACTAACCCTTGACCTGTGTTTTGAAATCGTATGCCTTAGGCCGGGATTAGCGGCTCGTGGAATGAACGGGGGGTGTGGAAGTTCTAGTATGGACAGAACAACGAATCCGAATGCAGGCCAATTGAGTAGTCATCGTAGTTTGAGGGCCATTGCCCGGTCATCGGCATTTCGGCGAAGACTTGAGGCGAAGAACCCACGGCCAGGTAGCTAGTATCTTGCCTGGAAATAGGGCTATCCACAGGGTAATGTGGATTACCTGAATAGTACCGTGGTGTGCTATCATCACCGCGGTAATCTTCGCTTTGCCAGTGAGCATCAGATCCGCAAAGGTGAGATGTCAACAGACTAGCCGAGAATCCTTGGATCTGTAGCGTAGAGGGTGAATATGTTGAGAAGTCGCTCGTATTTGAAGTGAAAAGGGTGAAGTCACCCATCGAAGGGGTTTCAAGACATCCGATTTCACCAAAAGGCCCTCCTGTGTCAATCGCATTGAGATTTGAGTCAAGGTTACTCATTTCCTCTGATCGGGTGAGTTGGTGATCGAGATTTTCCTCGCTGTGATTTAAACGGGGGTGAAATTGCGTTCTTGCCGGATGGACTGAATCCGAGGTGCCTACCATCTGTTAGTAGTTTATCTATTAGTTCCCGACCCCTGAACCTAGGCGAACGTACAGGCGTAGTGGCATTTGGAGGTCTCCCCCTGCTGATGCGCCCATGAACTGTCGTTCAAGAGACCCCACCTGGTTCTTTCAACCTTACGGGGGCTTGTGCGGTTGGGTCTTATTTCCAGCGCGGCTTTCTGGAGATCGTCTGCACTAGTCCCGTTCATACCACTCTGAGCCAAATGGATGAGAAGCTCGACACAATCTGAATCTCAACGGTCAATATCATCATGATTTGCGATATACAATCTCATAGCGGACTAGCTTTATCGAGAGAGGGCATACCATGTTTGGAAAGAGCGCTGGGCGGTTTGTACGGAACAGATGTAGGCCACCATCCAGGCCTGGACGAGTCAGAAAGTCCCGGCTTTATTTTGCGTGAGCGGTACGGAAAGATGGATCTTTTCATAGGTTCAATCTGCCTGATCATAGCAGAAGCCCACTTGCTGAGCTCCTTCTGGGTCTTGCTATTCAACACAGTTTTATGTATTGATATTTTATCGGCTTTGCCATGAACGTAGGGAGCAACCTCTCTCTCGGGTATCCTATCAAAAAACCCACTCCCGGACGAAGAGTGCGAAAGTACCCAACGCTTCGTAGAATATGCGGAGTTTTCTTCACCCGGATTCTTTCTTACAGAAAGAAAGGAACTCATCGTACGGCAAAGTTGATTCTAGAAAGAATAAGCAGACACCTGGAGAGAGGTTCAACGGATCATAGATCAATATGAGCAGGCACTTTGATCAGCAGTCTAAGAGAGATTGGATGAAGTTCGCGGTGACTTAGTTTTGAACTGTGACAGAAGAAATTCAGCGTATAGTGCGTGATCGTCCGACTCGACTCCGATGAGCTCTATATATATTTCAGTCATGATCAAATGGAACAAATGGAGACAGTTCATCTCATGCCGGAATCCTGACTCAGAATCATCTCGAGCAATATGCCGGTTTGAAAGAGATCTATAAGTCAAAGCCGAAAAGTACCTGTGCTGGGAGAACTGTAAGGCATTATTCCAATTGACGAATGAGAATGTATATCTGAGTCTGATGAATATGTCAAATGATCTTGTTATATACGGGTTTAGTGGGTGGCGGGGTTGGGCTGAGTGCACTTAGATTCACCCGCTCGAACAAATCACATGAAAGACAAAGACCCCAGTGGCATGATACTGGAAACTCGTGTCTCTACCTCGAAGACCGATACTGAAGCTTGAAGCCTCAAGCCCTCAAAATAAATCTAATACTTCGTTTTGTGAATACCGTGCCGGAAGATAAGGATAGTAAGACATGGGCGCCCTTCCCTTCTCATCTGCGGTCACCACCCAGTCCGCCCTACCTCAACCCCTATTCCGATTCCAAACCATCTATAGCTTCGAGGAAGAAACATCAGGGTTGCCTTCATATACCGATATTGCTGATGAGGTAGTCACATGTGGGAGCCGATGAGCGGCATCATATCGTACTAATGGTTATTGGGTTTCATGTTCTTAATTACATCCGGCATTTCACAAAATTGTTTGACGATAACATTCAACACCTTGAAACTCGAATGGGGTATATATAGATGAGCGTCTGTTTTCATGTGGTGAACCTGATTCGATCCTCCCTGTACTACCCGTAACACACGGGGTCATTAACATCTTACCTTCAGCACCGCGCAGCCAAGGGCTTCGGTTGTAATTCGGTATTAACTCGATATCAAAATGATCACAGGGTGAGTAAAGCCCAGAATTAGAGCAGTCATGATTAAAGCAAGGGCTCGTAGACCCCCTATAGAGAGAAACTGCTACAACCAGCCGAATTAGAGGGAGTCGAGAGAGTAAGGGTTAACTACATCAGAATCCATTCAAGTACTCTATAGCTTTCCGTGATCGATCTGTTGCACATGTCATATACAGACCTATTCGTATCTTAATCAAAGTGGCCGCTCTTATCCTTGCAGAACTTATAGAAGCCAAATAGACCATATATATGGATATCCTAAATATAAATAAGTCCTAGATGATGCTACCACTTAATCTAGGTTGGTGTTATTAAAGAAGAGAAAACACTACATCCGTCTTTCATATGCTGCAGACTGGTCACAAGAGAGTCTCATCCTAATATTCATATCATACACAAATACCAATTGTGGAAAATTTTGTTATCGGCCCTGTGTCTGCCCGGCAGTTTTGGCATGGCGAACGAAGGAAAACACTTCTGTTTTCCACGAGTTCCTTGAGGAAGGAGCCGATCCTGGGATCGTTTATTCGTATACGACCTTTCGTGTGACGGGGTTAGTATGGTCTGGTAATCGGATGGCTTTATTTTCTCACATAAGAAAGTCTTGGTCTTTCACGGTAAGTTTGCTTTGTGCTGAACGGTATGCTTCTCCAGATCGTATGTTGGTTGGGATGTGGAGTCACTGTCCATCGGGATATTCTCGAACTCTGGACAGACGCCTTTCAGTACTTCACGAATCGGAGGCAAAGTGGGACGGTCACTCGCATCTGGTTGTAGCGGCAGAAGCGATCGTATACTGGACGACTGCGACTGGGGGATCGACACGGGGTGGCATTTTTGTTTGGCAAGATTCTGCAAAGGATGATATTCACTAACCCCATATACTCGACAATCCAGGCGCTTCGGGAGTTGTGGTGTCAACAGGAAGCCGAATGATTGTATGAAATCAAGATAGGAGACATCTTGCTGACTATAGAGTAAGTAGTTGGCATAAAGTCTTTCCGATACCGTCTTGCTGATCGGGCTGCGAAGAAATCCACGCAATAAGTCGGTGTCAGCGAAATGCCAACAGATGATGGCTAGCTTAAGGCGAGTACTGTAACTACGATCATGTAGAACATATCGCGAAAGATTCTCCACAAACATGGATGAAAGCTCTTGAGCGTATTCTTCTAGCTCAGTAGACCTCGTTGACAGTGGTGACTGGCTCTGAAGCTCTCGACACCAGCGGAGAAGTGTTCTAGCATCTTGACTCAAAGAATCCTGAGCAATTGTTGAAACATCCTTTCTCAAGTCTAGTAACACCTCAATAGTCGTTCCTGCCGGCTATTCTAGGATCTAATCACATGACTGCGAAGTTGAATTACATTTGTATCTACCTCTGTAGTAACAAGTTCCTTGCACTGACCATAATAGTTCTTTTTGATCGCTTTTGTTGTTGTTGCACACTGTGCTGTGGCATGAACTCAGAGTTTTGGCCATCATTCTCAACGTACTCTTGACTCGAACACATCACACGGTTCGTGGAGAACGTCTTGAATAGTGAAAATGTAGAAAGATTCGAAGAATTGAAAAGAAAAACCCCAGGAAGTGATGGAAAAGGTCCCTCTATTTACATGATAGACCTCGGAAAGAATGGCTTATATTGCCCGGCACGGTAGATCATGGAGCTCACACCATCAGTGGCCATGTAAACACTTACTGTAGTAAGAAGTTCTCTTTTTTAGTTCTCGTTCAATTAGCGTGATTTTCATCTGCTCGCCGCCTGCCGAAAAGAGTAAAGTGAGTGAAGGCGGGAAGGCGAGTTACATAGGTAGTATGGTACCTGACTTGTTAGGGGGTCTGTTTCGCAGGACAGAGAACCTGTTGGCTAGGCAGAGAGTCCAAGTCTATAGGGTCTGATTTCAAAGACTGAATCTTAGAGTCCGGGTATACTCCACCAATTTCCAGAATATATATATGGGGTCCCCGTGTACCGAGTCCCCACAACCCCACATGATGTCTTAAGGGTTGTTACCCTAAGGCGGCGCAGGGTCGATTCGATCGTGAATCGTTTCGAGTGACCATATGTGACTCGCGCCGTGACAACTGTTCTTCCCTTCCATGCTGGTCGCCCCGACCAGGGATATTTCATCTGGGGGATACCATGACTCGGACTTTATCGTGGTACTAGGATAATGAATCGTGGTTGTATCGTATGTGGAACGCCACATCCTCAAATTTGGGAGATGCGGGTGTAAACAAAGGATTCCCGCATCATGCAGCCGCACTTTCCCACTGCTGTCGGCGATGCCGTTTGAAAGGAATCGCGACAGGGCGTTTGATCCCTGTTCGACGGATCAGCGTCGGTCGGGGAGCTGAGAATCTGTCCGCGATGGAGTGCTTCGTTGACGATTCGCTCCCGAAGACTTACAGAATCGACGTTCCCGCGGATGAGGACATTTCGACTTCAATCCATTTCCCTTGTTCAGCTTGGTTTCAAAATGCCCCGTCGTCATCGAAATCGTCGTCGCCACGAGGCTACCGGCGGGACAGGCCGTGCACCTCCTGCGCCAGACTTCGTGGCCGTGAGCCCCGATTTTCTCTGGTGTCTGAAGTGTTTCGGTAAAGCTAAGGCAGAGTATAACTTATAACTGTCTGGTTACGACAGTCCCCTTCGCGGTGGAGTGCGGGTTTGACCGCTTGGGGTCGGTACTCTGCAATAACTGCAAGGGTAACCATAATGTGTGCGAGACTGTAAGTTTTCTACTCTCTCCCGAATCACTTCCGAATCACTAACGGATCGCAAGACTCCCGCATTAATGATCTGGGATGTATAGGTGTTCCATTTCCTTTTGAAGGTTTATTAGGCAATCTTTGATGGTACCCAGGAGATCGTGGTAGCGCCTGGGCCATCGTACGTTCCGGTTTGGCCAGTCGGTATTCATTCCGATCTGTTTTGGATGAGTGAGGACCTTGCTGCAACTTTCTTGGGTGTCGTGCGGGCCCATAAGAAGGAGCATGTTTTTGAAGGTCCGAAGCATATGCAAAGGGTACGGATCACCCGTGATTCCTTGACGAATCTTTCTGACAAATTTTCTTTACAGAGATACCGTCGTTTCTATTCGGAAAAGATAGCGTCACGTCGCCAGAACCTGATTGCGGCTTTCGGTCCTCCCTTAACACGTGCGGACCAGTATCTCGGTCTTGAAGAAGGGGACGCTGGGTTTGTGTTGTGGCAGACTGGGCTGGTCAACTTTGCCGAGCGCTTAGAGACTGCGATGACAGCGAATGGTATACTTGCGGTGGAAGCGACCGCGATGAAGAATGTGGTGTTAGAGTTTGTGGAGTATTTCTGAGATGAATCGTGGCGGATTCGATCTAGTTTCGTCTTGTGCGTTTCTGTGTGTTTTCGAACTTCGCGATAGATTGTTTTGTATTTTGCATATTCTCGTCAGGTACCCACT